CGAAAATAACATCGCTAAACCCTCCTTTTCAAGCTGGGCATCACCTTGTTTACTCTTGGGAAAGCCAGATGGGTCGTATCGTTTCTGTACTGATTACCGAAAGGTGAATAACATAACAAAACCAGATTCTTTCCCATTGCCCCGAATGGAAGATTGTGTAGATTCTGTCGGTTCTGCGATGTATTTTAGTAAATTTGATTTATTAAAAGGATATTGGCAAGTGCCTTTAACCACTCGTGCACAAGAGATTGCCTCATTCATACCCCTTCTGGGTTATACTCTTATTCTGTAATGAGTTTAGGCCTTAGAAATGCACCCGCTACTTTTCAACGCTTGATGAACCATGTAACCTCTGGGTTGAATGGTTGTGCTGTTAATTTAGATGATGTGGTTGTATATAGTGTCACGTGGGAGCAGCATCTTTTCCGAGCACTTTTTGAGCGTTTGGCAGAAGCTAGGCTTACGGTCAACTTGGAAAAGTGTGAGTTTGCCAAGGCGACTGTGACCTTTTCAGATCCAGGTTGATCCAGTCAAGTTGGGGCTGGAGCTGTACTGTTGCAAGCTGATTAACAGGGTATAGAAAGACCAGTTTCCTATTTTTCCAGAAAGTTTAAGTCTCACCAGTTGCATACTTCCACTATTGAAAAGGAGGCATTGGTGTTGATTTGGGTTTTTTAAAGTCTATGTAACAAGTGGTATTTTTCCAATTGTGGTATTTTCAGACCACAATCCACTTACCTTTTTGCACTCTTTGCAGAGCCCAAACCAGCATCTTATTCGATGGTCTCTCTTTTTGCAACCCTACCCTTTGGAGATTTGACACATTAGGGGTGTGGAAAATGTACTGGCTGATGCCTTATCTCGTGCCCAATGTGAGAGTTTTTGTGACTGATTCAGTTGATTTTTTTTATCTTCTGTTTTCTCTCATTGTGACTGGCTTTTCCTAGGCACCGGGCGTTGCTGTATTCAAGTTGCAAGTGGGAATCAGATTAAGAAGGCATCATACTTGGTTTGCAGTCTGTTATAATGATTTGGGGTTAAGTGGTAATATTTTGTTTTTTCGCTAATTAAGAATTAATAATAATTTTCTCATTTGTTTCAGAGGTCCTTTGCAAGGATCCTCTCTCTTAAGAGGGGAGGTGGTGTTATGGGTGTGGGTGTTTTGTTTTCTTTGTATTTCTTGGTTTTTTAGGTGGGAGCGGAGATGAGGAACACCTGATTCAAATTAGGAGGTGGAGATATATGTGTTTCGGTTCCGTCCATGGAGGGCGGTGTACGGAGAGGTGACATCTATGGCTGGCCTCTTGTTTCCTAGCTAAAACGGGATCTCGCATCTGTCAGCATTTTGGGACATTTCAGATGGGATAAAATGTATTATTGCACTTTGTGGAACCCCTAGAATTATGTAATAAACCTTATTCATTATATCGATCTTTTGTTTTGATTTTCCTATATTGTTGCGGCCACGAGTCGGCCGTAACAATATATACACAGTGGTGGCCAAAATTATAAGAACGGTAAGATTTTTTAAGAAGTCTCTTCTGCTCACCAAGGCTTCGTTTATTTGATCCAAAATACGGCAAAAACAGTAATATTGTGAAATATTTTTTAACAATTTAAAATAACTGTTTTCTATTGTAATATATTTTAAAATATAATTTATTTCTGTGATCAAAGCTGAATTTTCAGTATCATTACTCCAGTCTTCAGTGTCACATGATCCTTCAGAAATCATTCTAATATGCCGATTTGTTGTTCATGAAACATTTATTATTATTATCAATGTTGAAAGCAGTTGTGTACAATTCCTTTTCAGGATTCTTTGATGAATAGAAAGTTCAAAAGAACAGCATTTATCTGAAATAGAAAGCTATTTCAGATAGAAAATAGAAGCTGTTTTCTATTTTCAAATATTTCACAATATTACTGTTTTTGCTGTAATTTGGATCAAATAAATGAAGCCTTGGTGAGCAGAAGACTTATTTTAAAACATTAAAAAATCTTACCGTTCTAATAATTTTGGATTCATGATGTCATGTCACTTGCTATCAGCCAATGTACTTTTTCCACTTATGATGTGACATCATAAAAAGCCTGACGTTAAAGTGTGTAGACTTTGTGATCCAAACCACCCAGTTCTGAGGGTTTTCTTATTTGAAAGCACCCTTGGCTGCAGAGCTCACTCTGTGTGGTAAGCGGCTTGAGCATATTCTTGGCAAAAGGCAGGTGACAACAACAGAGCAGGGAAAGGCCTTGTTGTAAAAGCCATGGAACAACTGTTACCTGTCCAGTTCCTGCCCTTTTACCTTTCCCACTGACATTTAGCATTGTTCACTCCAGGTCCTTTGTGAGGCCTAGTGTGTAACAGTCAATGGAGGTGACTTTTAATACGACTGAGATCTTTTCTCTGTCTTCTGCAGAATGGAAAAGCCACAGAATATGAAACACACTGGACTAGATTTTCCCAAACATGTTCCTCTTTCTTTCTCTCTCCACCACTCCTTCTCGTTCTCTTTCTAACTCTCTTGGTCTTTTACTTTGTGTCTATAGTGGTTTCAGGGCTGGGATTTGAAAACAAAGCCCTGCCTCACTGCTTTTTCAGCGACAGCCTGAATCTCAGCATGAATGGTGTTAGCAAAGCAGATGTGGCGCTCTTTCCAGTTCATTTCTGATTGAAATCAATCAGTCTGCCTATTGAAAACTTTGTGACTTCATAGCATTACATCTGAGCTATCTTTAAATTATGAGCAAGACGGATGCAATTGAAAATCCACAGACAGCAAAAACGTATTTGCTGAAAAAACAAACCCATTTATTTTCATATTTTAATAGTAGTTTTTAGTGTGGATTCCAATGTTGTTCCCCATTCATTTCTGGCATTACTTCCTGTGAATACCAATGGGGACGCGTCTCAGTCAGAGTGTTGAAATGATAGGTCTTTGCTGGGATGGTTCACCAGATTTGCTTCTCACTCACACACCCCATCAATTTGCTCTAGGAATTTAGTGATTTTGCTCATTTTCAGCCAATGTTTTGCTTGGGGGATATAAAAGCCACGCCGTTAAAAGCTGGTGTTGATTATAGTCATAAGCAGGGGTTAAATTTGGCTGGATTTGCCTCTAATCGGTAGGCATTAGCCTAGATTGGCTCTGTTTATTTTAAAATTAAATACTCGTGCATGAAATAGCTTGATTGACGAGCACATATCAACTGTTTTCCTATTTCCTATTTTTATTTATCGGCCCCCCTGCCGGATAATTCAGGTATGAATTGATAAAATGTGTACCTGAATGCAATGTAAGTGCTTTTGGATAAAATCATCTGCAAAATAATTTTTAAATTGTTTATTTATTTATTTTACATTAATTTTTTTTTTTTTTTTTTTTTTGGTTAATACAGGAATTGTTATACTGCAGTGTAAGTCACTTTGAATAATATCATCTGCCAAAAGCATAAATATTTAAAAAAAAGTTTTTAATAATTATTTACCCCATTATATTACCCCAGTTAATGCAGTAATATAGTGTATATACTAGTCATATAATGTAGACCTTGAATGCAATGCTAGTCACTTTGGATAAAATCATCTGCCAATGCAAAAAAAAATATAAATATATATATTATTTTCATTATTTATTTATCTTTATTTTACCCTAGTTAATGCATAAATTGATATGATGTAGACCTTGAAAGCAATGTAAGTCATTTTGGATAATACGCATCTGCCCAAATGCATTAATTATTTTTCTATTTTTTTTTCTTCAGTTAATGCATTAATTGGTATAATATAAATGGTATGGATAATCTGCCAAATTCATTAATTAATTAATTTGTTCGTTCGTTCATAAAATGTATTAGCAGATTTTATGGCTCCCCCAACACCTGTTCTAAAGGTTATAAATTTAGCATAGATGATGGGTCAATTAAGGTTATGGATGATCTCGAGGTCCATCCAAATGTAACATAGGCCAGCGTCTCACTGAACAGCATAGGAGCTTCTTTGATTCCTATACTTAGAGTACATACAGACTTTTCAATCTGTTGTGTAAGACTTCTGGGAAAGGGTAAATCGTTTTGGGTCTGCATCTGAAGACCAGAGAGCTTTTCAAAATCAGCCCCAAACTTTTGACCCTGCAAGGAGATTGATTGCTTTCAGTGTAATTCTCTTCACTTCCTGCGTGCAGGGGGCCGGACTAATAGCTGTCCCTCGTGTCCAGCACAGAGGTCTGCCTGGTTCCTCTCCCCCTGAGTTGAGTCAACCCACCCCCATCCGCAACCTCAAGAGTGGGGGAGCGTTTCCCAGGGACAAAAGAATGAATATGTAATGAAGAGAAAGGGAAAGGGGTGGGAGTGTGTTTGTCCGAGAGAATAGACGGATCCAGCTTGACAAGTGTTTGTCAAGGGATCAAGGAAGTGCAAGAAAGTCTTGTCTCGTTTTCCACATCGGCAACATAAGAACAGTTACTTACTTGTTACAAACCAATACAAACAGGGAAGCTCTCCGAGGCGAAGCCTGCAGTTTACAGAGTTTCAGAAACATCGCACTTTAGCTCCCTCCCTCTCTCCCCCAGAAATCTAGCACACATGGTACGTTCCGTTTAAAAGAGAGCATGTCATCTCTCAATGCACTGTGTTCTCTCTGGAAGCAGCTGCTGGGAGCGCGGTTTTTCAGCGGGAACTCTTTCACTCCTCTACCTGCTGTTTCGTCTGTCCGTTACGTTCTCTCACATGCTCTCTCTCTCTCCCTCTCTCTCTATCACACGCTCAGCTCTCTTTCACACTAACAGAGGACAGGTAGTGATTAGGTCTTTTCTGCTGGGATAAGGAGGAGGGGAGTCTGACTTGGGATTTTTTTTCCCCTTCTCCAGCGCGTGTTTTGTTTGTGTGGTCTAAACTGTGGCAGCCGTGGAGAGATAAAGGGGGACAGGGGACCCACGGCTTGTTCTACCCCCTGACCGAGCCCTTGACACCATGCACCTCTGTGTGGATTTGCTTCTCAGGGCAAAATCCTGAAAATGATGGAGGACAACAAGCAGCTGGCTCAGCGGATCGATGGGGCCATTCAGTCGGCCAGCCAGGAGGTGACCAACCTGCGCTCCGAGCTCTCCGCGACCAGCCGCAGACTGGCCGAGTTGGGGGCATGCAACCCCGTCGGCCTGGAGAACAACCAGCAGAACCACCATCACCACCATCACCACCTCCACGGTAAGACATGTGTCAAGTTTTGCTTGGTCTGTGAGTTACAGTTGAGAATATTTCATTTTTAAGGGTTTGTGGTTGGGAATGAGCTTTTGTTGAGAGAAGAAAGTAAAGAGGGGAGGACGGGGGCAGCTGATCCCGTTCTTCACTGCCTCGTCCCGTTTCCCGGGTAGCCGGTGGGATGGCTTTCCAACGCAGCTGTGACATATCAGGCAGAGAAAGGCCAGAGTGAGAGAGAAGAAAAATGAAGGCTAGCATTGGATTCAACTGTCGTCATAACTCCTGTCTCTGACTGATTCGCAGGGAATAACATGAAACACGTGGTTCAGGTCTGATACTAAAACTTAGTTAAAGGTAAAGTGTGTCTTTTTTATAATGTTAAAATACTAGCTTCTAGCTTTTAGACTACTGTAAGACAAACATTGGTAGAATGAGTTGAGCATCCCGACAGGCCCAACACAGCAATGTTGGCTTAACTGATGCCGTGAGATTTAGCTGAAAATGTTTGTCAACCAGTGTCAGACAGGATAGTGTTTTAAACTGCCATTCTCTCACACATTTCCATGTTAAAGTGATATTTCACCAAAAAGGAAAGTTCTGTCATCTTTTCCTCAACTTTATGTCATTCCAAACCTGTATGACTTTCTTTCATCTACAAAAGAATGAAAAAGGAAGATTTTTGAACAATGTTGATAACCAAACAGTTTTGGGGACCATTGACTTCCATTGTAAGGGCAAAAAATATCTATTTTCATGTTTTACAGAACATAAAGGAACATCATATGGTTGTGTAAATGATGACAAAATGTAAATTTTCGGGTAAACTGTCACGTTAAGTCGAGATGAAAATCTCGTTATTATCGTCAAAAGTGCTTGATGATATCACACATGACCCGTGCTTGTCAAAAACTTGACAGCAAGGTTCCTTTTAACATTGTTAGTTCATGAAACCTAACTAATGAACAGTATTTTTACAGCATTTATTAATCCTAATTTCCTAAGTTTTTAAAATGTCAAATTGTATAAATCAATATACACTACCATTGAAATGTTTGGGGTCGGTAAGATGTTTTAACATGTTTTTGAAAGAAGTCTCTTATGCTCACCAAGCCTGCATTTTTTAAATCAAAAATACATTAAAAACTTTTTTTTTATATTTCAAAGTACTATCGCAACTAACTGTTTTCTACTTCAATATATTTTAAAATGTCATTTATTCCTGTGGGAAAGCTGAATTTTCAGCATCATTACTCCAGTCTTCAGTGTCACATGATACTTCAGAAATCATTCTAATATGCTGATTTGCTGCTCAAGAAATTTTTATTTCTTGATATTTTTGTGGAAACCATTATACTATTTTTTTCAGTGTCTTTTTTTATGAATAGAGCAGCATTTATTTGAAATAGAAATCTTTTTGTAACATTATAAATGTTTTTACTTTCAATTTTAATTTGAAAAAATGCTGAAATTATGTTTATTAATTTCTTCTAACAAAAAAATACTACTGACCCTAAACTTTTAAATGGTAGTTTCATGTATTATAAAAGAGCATGAATTAATAATGAACAATAGTATTTTTACAATAGTAGCCTAGATTTATAATTGTTCATGTTGTAAAAGTATTGTTGTTAATGTTAATGTCACCAAATGCATCCTATTGCAATTGTTACCAAAACTACCCTGAATGTGAGTTCATTTAACATTGTGTGTTGTGACTCATCTTTTTTACTGGTTATCTCAACTTTCACTTCATGTTCTCTGAAAGGAAGTTAGGTGTGGCGAGATCCGTCCGGTTCTGTTGTACAGATTTGATAGCCCAAGGCAGTTTTTACTTCAGGCTAGAGGTCATGTTAAGCGGCTCGAACAATGTCTGTGTGTGTGCGGCGAGGACCAGTGTATTGATATTGTGTCAGGTTGATGATGTTATAGGGGTTAAAGCATGCAGGGCAGCCCAGCGGTGGGCGACATTCCCCCCGGTGGTCTTCTGCAGGCTGAGACTCTTTCAGATGGAGCGAAAGTAATAGAAACTGTGTGTTTGAACAGGTGTCATTTGCGGGACCCTTCTAAATGAATGAGATTGTATGAACAGCACAGCTTCCCCCCTCTCTCTCTCTTTTCACATGGGTTTAAGGCATCTCACTGCAGTGAACCCACATTCCTCTTTACCAACGCACTGATGTAATGCTTCTCCCTCTCTCTCTGCCCCTCTCAGTCTCTCTCTCTCTCTGTCAGTCAGGTGACTGTTTACATGGGAGAGCCGGAGGCTGAGCAGGCAGAATGTAATCAGATACACATTCCTCTGTCCTGCCGTATGTGGGAGTTTCTCTCTTAGTTTAAACACAAAGCCGCCCCCCTCCTCCTGTTTCAAAAACAGCATTCCTCTAATCAGGGCTTCGGGTTCATTTGTGTTCTGCTCACATCCTTCCGTCGTTATCGAGCCAAAGGCTGAGGGCCACTAAAAGTCATGTTTGTTGTAGGGCCGGATTTGGATTGGGTTCAATTTCATTTCACTTTTTTTTTGGTGAAGAAGTATTTTTCCACTATCCTGACCTTTTATGAGGCACACAAGCATTCATTGCGGCTAATAACTTTTTTCACTTTGTTACAAACACTCGAAATGTTTACCTCATGTTGCAGGCGGACACACTCTGAATATAAAGTTGAAAGCAAGCCGGTGTTTAATGGACTATGACAGCCTAATGGAGAGATGTGGCATCCAGTTGTGCTTCGTCTCTCCTCCATCTTTACATGACAAGTGAAGTTTATGTGACGACAGGATCTAAAGAAGAAACTGTTTACTTGATGATTATATGCTTTTTGAAACATTTCAATTAATAATAACATTAATACATACATTTATATTAATAACATAACATTATTACATATAACAGTTTTATATAATATTATATATTGTGGGTCACCAATGTTGGAGAAAGGAGCCCAGGAGCAAAGAAGTAAGTCCCAGCTGGGAAAAATCATCAATTATGAATACTTCCACCTGTTCACCCTTCAAACATGGAACCACTTACAGCTGTAGCCAATAATGGTCCATGGAGGTCACTATAAATCTTGGGAATCTGTGCTTCACTCAAAGGAGAGATGGTCCTGGGTGCAGACAACCCCAGGATGAGGTGAAGAAGCACAGGGAGGCCTAGAGTGAGACTGGCTGAAGAGAAAGAAAAGACACAGTTAACCTTGTAACCTCTGCTTTACCAACTTTGCCTTTCGTTTTTCCTGTCTTCCCCCTTCAAGGAGGCCTAGAGTTCAAGCAGACGGTAGGAACGCAGCTGTCATGAGTACCCCAGACCGGGAAGAATCTAAGTTCCAATTTGGATCCCTTTTGGCCATCCTATATATTTTTTGTTAAATAAAAGACAGTTTCTGTTAACGCTGCCCCCGTCTCTCTTGTGGTTGTGTTTTGTGGCAGTTGAAACCTCTCCTTGCTTTCGGACGTGTCACAGTTGGTGGAGAATGCGGGCATGAGCGGCCAGTGCTTGAGTTGCCACAAAACGAGACCTGGAGAAGGACAAAATGGAAGATGCGATTAAGGCCTTGTTGACCAGTCATGCCAAACAGAGAGAGGAGCTAAGTGCCCTTTGGAAGGCAGTTACTACCATGTGTCAAGTCATGTCCAAACCCAGCAGCACCCTAGACCCAGGGCGGGTCCTCACTAAGCAGACTCCAGAGGATGACGTGGAAGCCTACTTGGAGGTATTTGAAAGAACAGCAATCAGAGAGAAATGGCCTGAAGAAGATTGGGGTGCAGTGTTGGCACCTTTTTTGACGGGGGAGGCCCAGAGGGCCTGTCAAGATCTGTCTGCTAGAGATGCAGCTGATTATTTGAAGTTAAAGAAGGCCATTTGGTCCCATTATGGGCATAGCCTCCCTGCTTGTGCCCAACGTTTCCATGCATGGAGTTTTGATCCAACCCAGCCAGTAAGACCTCAGGTAGCCACATTGACCCGACTGACTAAGGCCTGGCTCGGTTCTGGGGATGACCCCCCATTGATGGAAAGAATAGTGTTAGACCGTTGCATCCGTTCCCTCCCAGCTGGGACTTACTTCTTTGCTCCTGGGCTCCTTTCTCCAACATTGGTGTCCCACAATATCAACATGCAGCCCCCTTGGAAGTTTGCATAGGCCTCCTGGTTGAGAACTACTGTTCTAGTTCTAGATAGGACAAGTCTTTAGTCTTTACTTAGGTTTGTTGAAATCCCTAATCATAACAATGATACTTTTTCCTTTACTTTTCTTACCACCACTAACAAGACAAAAATTAAATCCATACACTGCCTTTTTTCTTTATGAGGACGTGATTAGGCTTATCAGATTGCGATTATAGTTCAGACTTGTGTGTAATCATCTGATGAACTTAAACTGATACATCTGACTCTGATGATTGAGATGATATCCTGAAGGAATTACATGTATGACCTAGTGAAAAAAACCTACAGTGGGTACTCAACCAGAATAATACTTTTACCGCCGCCGCTCCCGCGGCGGTAAAATTCTGGTGTGTATTTGTTGCCTTTTACCGCTAAGAGGCGCTACAATTACAGACTTTGAAAAGTGTCAGTTTATTCTCTCTATTGCGTGATCTGCCGCAGGGCCGCTGCTCATTGAGAGCGATTGAAAGCTGGTAACAGATGATTTCAAGTGAAACTTGTAGTTAAACGAATTTATAATCACAATAGGCCTACTGAAATTAAATTGAATAAATAGTGAAAACATTTCAACATAAAACATTGCAACCGAAACATATTAGGCTATTAATGAGGGTTTGGAAGAGCATAAGTCAATGTTTAACAGCGTTCAGACGATAGCTCAGCGGTTAACGCAACAACATGAGCCTCAATACGCTTCAAACGATCTGAGATCGAATCTCAATGGAGCCAATTTGCTGTTGGCCGAATTCGTTTATGTTTTACCGTTCTTGATGCTTAAATAGGTAACTGTTTATTAGCAAATTCATTAACTGTTTACTTATGTAAAGTCAAGAGTTTTGT